CTTCCTTCCTTCCTTCCTTCCTTCCTTCCTTCCTTCCTTCCTTCCTTTTAGTGCAAACAAGCATCTCATTCATCTCTTTGCATTTGTTCTACATATTTTACTCACCACTCTACACTAGGGACCCTGCTTCTTCCGTGAAAACATCATGATAAATAGACACGGACCTGTCTCCATGGGAACATGGTAAACATTATCTCCGTCAAAAATTCTAAGAAACAAGCTTGAATCGAGTGTAATAATTAATGCACAGCATGGTTTGGGAAAGAGGTCCTTGAGCTTGGAGGTGACAAAGGACTGTAACTATCCTGGAGATTGGACATCTAAGCCAGCAAGCATAGATAAATCCCTAAAGCAAGAGGATGCTCGATGTGAATTGGAAAGCTACTGTCCACTTCTGTTTGGTTGAAACGTGTGTGCGTGTGCGTGTGCGTGTGCGTGTGCGTGTGCGTGTGTGTGATGAGGATGAGGGAGGAAGAGGAAATTGAGAATGTCCTAGGAGACAGTGAGCCAAAGTGCGAAGGGCTTGATCTCAACTGTGTTCTTAAAGAGGAGTTCGCTGATTTGGGAGAGGAATGCAATGCCTTGCTGCGGGGTTCTAACTGCAAGTTCTGTAAAGGTGATTTATTTTTAAGGAAAGAAAATCTTCAGGTGGGGCCAGGTGTGGGCTCACTGTGTAAAGTGCTTGCTGTACAATCACAAGGACCTGAGTCTGAACCCTGGCTGAGAGCATGGCTACATATGCCTGTAAAACCAGCACTTGTGAAAGTGCACATACCTGAATATGTACACACACACACACACACACACAGAGGCAACTAAAGTCCTATTAAAAATAAAATAGGGGCTGAACTGTTGGCTCAACCAACAAGCAATTGTCCTTCTTGCAAAGGACCAGTTTGGTTCCCAGCACCCACATGGTGGTTCATAACCATCCATAACTCCAGTTGCAGGGCTCTCAACTCCCTCTTCTGACTTCCCCAGGCACCAGGCATGCATGTGCTGCACATACATACATACTGTCAAACATTCATGGACATAAAATTAGTAAAGGTACCACATTCTAATTACCCATTCATCAGTCATCAGCATTGATGGACCTCTGGGCTGTTTCCATTTCCTAGCTGCTGTGAATAGAGCAGCAGCAAACGCAGGATGAGCGGAAGGGACTTGCGTTATTAAATACCCCTTTCCCTCTCCAGCGTGACTGTTCAGGCTCTCTCCCATGATGTGTCTAGAAAGAACATCTTAGCTACTTTTCTGTAAGAAAACAATCACTCTTGATTTCACTCAGGTACACATTGAATATCCTGGAAGACATTGGAGGTGGGCAGAAGGTCAACGATGACATTATTGTCAACTGGGTGAATACGACATTGAAGGAGGCACAGAAAAGCTCTTCCATCGCTAGCTTCAAGGTAAAGGTTTCGTCGTCGTCTGCTTCTTCCTTCTGTTTTCATTACATGTTGAGTGACCTCCAGGGCCAGGGCTTTGATGCTTGCTTTGGATTCCCTTAAATGATGTTGTTTAATGTTCCCAGCCATTTCACTGACGAATTTCTCATCATTTTTCCTTTAACAGTTAATTTTCAAAACCTCCTCTTTTAAGTACCTCATTTTAGGCTCTATTCTTTTGAAGTAGTGTAACACACAGGAATCAATTTTTTCAAACGTGCACACTTCCAGTTCAGAGTTTCTTATATTACAGTGGTAAAGTGTAAAAGGCTTGTCTTAGGGCTTTACTGCTGTAAACAGATACCATGACCAAGGCAACTCTTATAAGGACAACATTTAACTGGGGCTGGCTTACAGGTCCAGAGGTTCAGTCCATTATCGTCAAGGCAGGAATGTGGCAGCATCCAGGCAGACATGGTGCAGGAGAAGCTGAGAGTTCTACATCTTCATCTGAAGGTTGCTAGCAGAATACTTGCTTCCAGGAAGCTAGCATGAAAGCTGCCCACACCTACTACAGTAGCGCACTTACTCCAACAGGGCCACACCTCCTAATAGTGCCACTCCCTGGGCCAAGCATACACAGAGCATCACAAGTCTAAAAGATATCTTGTGTGATATTTTTTTTGGGGGGGAGGGGATATGTACTTCATCCCAGTCATATTTTTATTAATAATACCATTATGTATTATCAGACTTATTAATTTTGGCTGTGTGCTCACAAGAGTCTTTCTTAAGGACCTGGACACTTGATTCATATTGCAATGATGTCCATGCCTCAGTGTTCATATTTAAAGGATTTGTGGGGAGGGACCCCTGTCACCCAAAGGAAAGAGAAGAGAAATTAAAATCTCTTCTCCTCAAGAAGGGCAAAGGCAGAGCTGGGTAGGCCAGTGTCAGGAGCTCCATCAACTGTGATATGGGACACTCCAAACCCCACCCCCACCCCACCTCAAGCCTTCTGCTCTGCTGAGCACAGGTAAGAGTGGAGGCTAGTGACTGAAGTGAACAGATCTTTCCAGAAAGACATTTGGAAAGGGGGCAGGGAAGAGCGAAGTCAAAGCCACCACGGCCACTGCTGCATTCTGAGTCCCAGGGCCTCTTCTCTCTGAGTTTGTCTTCACAGATTTCCTTATTTTGTAAGTAAAGAAACTAAAGCTTAGAGAACTTTCAGGGGTCACAGCCCATTAGCTGACCTCTAAGTGGGGAGAAAGCACCTTTGCTTGAGGCAATGGGGCCACGGGTCACTCAGCCATGGCTACAAACTGGCCAGTCACAGTGGCTTCTCCCTGGAGAAGAGCTGCTGTCCCAGAGCCTTATTCCGTGATGGTCTCCTGGGTGCCCTTGTGGGAACAAGGTTTGATGAGCCATGCTGGAACTCACTCTCAGGAGTACTTGTCAGTCCTCTCACTCCACAGGTCATTCTGCTCTGATTTTCTCTGTCTTCTCCCTAAGTCATTACAGCACTGATTAAAAAGAGCCACTTGGTGACGCAAACAGCTAGGTCAGATTAGCCGAGTTCCTTTTCAACGAGACTCTAAATCAATGCATACAGCTCATTCTTGATTAACCATTCCCTTGACATCTACTAGATGTCCACCACGCCTCACCCATTGTCAGCTCCACACCCAGGGCAGAATTTAGGGAAGAAGGCAAGGCTTGGATCACTATATTTCTTGAGAGCTGAGTTGTCACCAAAACAGCCTGCAGAGGTAGCAAAGGACGTTACTGCAAGAAACTAGGGTAAAGCCTCCATCTTTTTTTTTAACTACAATGCTTCTTTTATCAGCCAAGAGGAAATACTAACTAGACTCATTCTGATATTGAAAATGACTGTTCTGCCTCTATAGGAAAGCAGAGGTGGGAGAACTGGTATCAGGCTTTTATTCTGATTCATACTTTCCAATCACGCGCTGCTGGACCTCAGCAAGCTCGGACAGCAGCCCAGCCACACTCCCTAATGCCAGGACAGTGATTAAAGAAAGCACACATGCTGAGCTCTGTGCATCCACATCTGAAGGGTGTTCTCAGCACTAGACGTGAACATCCAAACATTTACAGATGTCCAGGATGTTAAGTCTGAACTCTAGGTTCAAATCCCAGCTCTCCCAATTCCCAGCAACTCACTTAACTGCATAAGTCCCATCTCCTCTGTAAGTGGAGATTAACTGAGGAACCACAGTCCTAGTTCAGTGGTTCAGTGTATGTTGACATGTGTGAAGCTCTGAGTTCCAACACTGAACACAGTAACAAAGATTAAACGTGAACATTAAACATCCACACCACAAAAAATGACCACTCTGTAAGGCTAGACGTTTGTTAGCTCCGTGTAGCCACCCATAATGTCCTTATACTTTAAAACATGAGGAGTGCATGCCGAGCTGTGTGTCAATTACAAAATAAGCTTCAAAAGTTAAAGCTTTTATAAAAGGAAAACCAAAAGAAAAAGAAAACATTCCTAAGGCCTGTGGTGACAAGAAAAGGCTGGGCAAAGTGTGTTAATTAGTGTCATTGTGCTTAATTCCACTGTTGCTGTTGCTGTCTCCATGGAAACCTTGAATTTTCCCCCCAAGTTCCTCAGAGAAAGGGCATCTGTTGTGACCCAGTCTACCTGTTCCCTCACGCATCTCCTGCCACTCACTATAGGATGCTAGATATGCTTTTCTTGCACAAAGCAGGGCTTTTCTGACATCTTTGGTCTCTTCTTCTCTATGTCTATTCTATAGGTAAGAAAAAGACCTGCCCACTTCCCTTGAGGCAGACGGAAGAACTCTAGAATGAATGTTGATAAACCCTCCCTTTCTCTCTGCATAGGACCCGAAGATCAGTACCAGCCTTCCGGTTCTGGACCTCATCGATGCTATTCAGCCGGGTTCCATAAACTATGACCTTCTAAAGACAGAAAACCTGGACGATGAAGAGAAACTCAACAATGCAAAGTATGCAAATAAACTGGGGGTCACAGAGGGGGGCACAGGTGCCAACTGGGCAGCTGTGGAACCTGATGTTTGTGCCTTGTGCAAATGCCTTATCTCTACTTACTGCAGACTCATCATCAGCTGAGGTGTGGTCCTGTAGCAGCTTCAGATGCTTGTATTGGGATGGAGGAAAACAAAATCTAGAGTAGTTTCATAAGCAGTAAGCAAGGCCAGAGATTTGAGGGTTCAGGACTTCCCATATCTTTCTGGGAGAAGGGGCACAACCTGGTCCTTTATGAGTCTGGAATTCACCCCTGTTTTAAAATCCCAGCAGGGCCCCTTTCTCTGTGGTCAGTTTTGGAAAACAGGTTCTTTTTCCAAATATCCCCACATGATAATAGTCAGCACAGTCTCCTGGAAAGATGTTAGGGTTAAGCTGTGCTTATGTGGAGTGTTATTGGGGTATCTAAGGGGAGGTACCAAAATGAGGGGGAGGCCAGGGAGGGGCTGTGGCTCTTTAGAGCCAATGACTTCTGAGCCTGAGCTCACCAGCAAAGACAAGTGAGCCAGCAGGAAACAGACAGAGAAGGCAGAAATTCTAGATAGAAGAACACCGTGAAAACAGAACAAAAACAACAAAACAACCACAAAGGTTGGAAACTAGCAAGGCCTGGGCTTGGTGTGCAGTTTAAGGGATGTAACAAGGTCACACACTTTTTAAGCTGCACAAGGGAGATTTCAGAGTCTGACTTCAGAGACCAAGCTCCTATGCATTGCCCTTCAAGGACAAGACACAGAATTCTTTCAAAATTGCTCAGGGCTTGGGCAGAGTAGAACATATCCTATTATGCAAGAGGCCCTGTGTTAATTTCTAGCGTTGAAAACAAAAACACAAGCAAATGTCTTTTTAAAGAAAAGAGTTTGAAGAGTTTTGGAGTAAAGTATATGCTTTGCAGACAGATCTGGGTTTGGTGGCCTGGGCTGTAATCCCCCTGCCAGGGTGACAAAGCCAGGCAGATGCATAGAGCTCATGGGCTAGTCACTCTGGTCAACGTGGTGAGTTCCGGGCCAGTGAAAACCACTGTCCAGAAAACCTAAAATGAATAATAAAATAATGTGGGCAGAGCCTAAGGAACAGCATATAAAGTTGTCCTCTGGCCTTCACATATACTCATGCATACATACAACACACACACAGACACACACACACACACACCATGAAAAAAAGGGAAATAAGTGTGGGAAAAAAGTCCACCTTAGTAAAAGTGCTAAGAATGGTTATGTTTTTGAGACAAGATTATATTTGGGGTTTGGGGTTGGGTTGGGATCTTTTATGTTTAATTTTTTTTAAACACTCATAGATTTTCATGCAGCTTTCTCTGTTTTGTGATGGAATCATTAATTTTCTTTATTAGTAATGTGGAGGAAGTTATTGAGAGATGGACAGGAGAAAGAATGGGTGGTGCTCTTAAATTAATTGGGTCACTAAAGTGAGAATAAGTTCTTTTGGAGACCAGGAGGAAGGGACGGGGCCCTGGGTAGGGGTGGGTGAATGTGTGGAGTAGCTACCTTAAAGAGTACAAAGAATGAGAGAACAAAAGAATCGCCAGGTATCCCTGTGAAAGCAGTCCTGACTAACAGATTCTGTAATGTACAGAACTCCGAGGCTTTTGTGTGGATGTGATGATTTCAATTGAAAAACAGAACATAAAAACTCTGACTACTCGAATAGCAGTGCACTATAAATAAAAAAAAAAAACATCTGTACATGGAACAAGAAATTATACACCCAGGTATTATGCATGACCAGATATTGTACACGCAGTTTTCTTCTTGTATTTCTGTAGTTGAAACACAGTCCACGGAGTGTTTGCTCCTAGCAGTTCATACTTAATTCTTGGACTTTTCCTGCCACACTCTGCACTCCAAGAGAATGTTTCTCCTATCGGTCTCAAAAGCAGCAGCAGGGAGCCTGGAGAGATGGCCCAACTGGCAAAGTGCCTGCCACCCAAACACAGGATCTGAGTAGAGATGCCCAACACCCGTGCTTAAAGCCAAGGGTGGTGGTGCACAACTCTAATTCCAGAGCTGGGGAACAGGCAGGAGACCCCTGGACCTTGCTGACCAGCTGGCCTCGCCAAATCCCTGAGCTCACCGAGGTTCAGTGAGAGATTCTGCCTCAAAAAGATAGGGTCAAGACTGATTGAGGAGGAACCCGGCGCTGACCTCTGACCTCTACACACACAAACATATGCATATATACAGTTTTAAAAGGTAAAAGTTGGGAAGGTCTTCAAGGGCAAAACACAAATGTTTCACAGTCATCCTCAGACCAGGGAGCCACTGACGATTCAGAGGGAGCTTAGTGAGCTGAGATTTGTCAGCCCATGTGGACAGATGGGGTGGCCAGCCTCTACCCTCACTGAGGGTTCTGTGCCTGTGCTCCTAAAGGGGCTTCCTCAGCCACTGCTGTTCAATATTTGCATGTCTTCTCTCTTTCAGGTATGCCATCTCCATGGCCAGAAAAATTGGAGCAAGGGTGTATGCCCTTCCAGAAGACCTGGTTGAAGTGAACCCCAAAATGGTCATGACAGTGTTTGCCTGCCTCATGGGGAAAGGGATGAAGAGGGTGTAAGTCCCAAAGGAGCAAGCCAGAAAGGGACACAGTCAGCCCTGAGGGTCAGCACACGGTGCTCCCAGGATACAGAGGACCGACCATTCAAGCCATTCCAAAGTCCTCAACCTTAGAGACAGTATCTGAAATTCTCATATTTGTTCTGCCAAGTAGCTTCTGCTATAGTTAGCAATACGTGCTTCTCTTTTTTTTTTTTTCTTCAGAAGATCTACTCGCCTACAGATATTTTTTTCTTTGAAATTCAACCAGGAAAAAAAAAAAAGCAATTAAAAAGAAGTTATTTCCAGATGCTCACCCTCCTCCCCTCCCTTCCCCTTGCTTTCACTGGTAGTCAAGGATATAAACTACAGTGTTCTCAAGGGTCACCTGATCTCTTCAGCCAGTTTGATCTAGCTGCTTTTTGCCTTGTTCAGACAAAGGACCTGGAAGAGATCATCAAACTTGCCTTAAATAAAGCTGGTCGCTAGAGGCCGACACTGGATGGTCACAGCCTCTCCTTGTATCTCCTGTCTCCCTGTGAGCTTGCTCCATTCCCCTCAGAACCATACCTACTCTATGGTCCCCGTTTTTGCCAACCTTGTCTCTAGGCCACTGAAATGTCTGACAAATCAGTCAAGCTTCCAAGAGTCTTTAGGAGACTGCAAAACTGGGGACTCAAGGAAAGTGTAATAGAGAGTAATACCACTAGGGGGCAGCATGGTGGGACCATGAAGCATCTACCTTTCTGAGTGCATCTCCAGGCATTTAACCCCAAGTGTTAGAAAGCTGCTTATTGTGGTGTTGACAAAACGTCTGACAACAGTCAGAAGCAATCCTGCCCAGCTTCATTTGCTTTTAGACATCGGCTTATTTGATTGCTGCCCAGCCATATCACCAATACTCACTTTGCTGGTACTGTAAAAGCTTTTTGCCACCCTAAAGTTCCTGGAAGGAGGGAGGGGGTTGATATGTGCCAATAATCTCTGTCCCTGCCTCACCCAAATGCTTGCATGGGCACATACACATATGTAGCTGGATGTCAAGAGTAGAATGTTGCCTAGGAACTGCCTGGAATTCAAAACAAAAGAGAACAGTATGAATTTGAATAGCTCCCACTAGATAAGCCATTTCCATGAAAACTTACCAAAAGCTAAAAAGCCACAGAACCTTGTGAACCAAAGCTCGACTCCCTCTGCATTAGTGAAAGGTTTACTCCCGTGGCATCTTCCTTAGGGGTAGAAGGATGTAATGGAACTTTGTTGTCTTCCAAAGCAATGGAAATGCAGGGCCTCAGCTTCATCCCCTGACAGTGGACTCTGGAAACCAATAGATGACTCTTTCCAGCTTCCAAGCAGTATTCCCACTGCATCTGAATGCAAAGTGTTTGGCTGTGACTTTAGTCTGAACTTGATGTAGCCTCAGATGATGTTTGCCCATCTGCCTCCACAAAGGAAGGATATTATTGCCTTAATGGAAAATGAAGATAAATCATGTTTAAAAAAATCTTTCCAAATAAAATGTTCCCAATTCTGACTGTTTCTGCATATGTTTAAAGGTTGCTTGCAGCTCACTAGCAGAGAACACATAATATCTGAGAAACTGTATAAGGTCTACACCACACACAACTATGGGCATGTGGTAAGTGGTATATCGAGGAGAAACATTTCAGCTGAAAGCTGAGAGATATGTTGCCATTAATGGCATGAAGAAAGTTGAAACAAGGTTTGTTCAAAATGCTTTGAACTCAGTCACGAAGATCAGGCTTGGCAATTGGTAAAATGGCTTCCCAAATGAACTGAGAAAATGTGCTTTGAGTCAGTAATATCTGGGGCCTCTCGTCCTCTGGGCTGGATCTCACTTTGGTAGGGATGAGTGTGCTTATCGGGGAAGAGGAAGTGAGTCTTCAGTAGGCAGCTCCTTCTAGGTTAGACTGCTAACACAACAGAAATTTGCCATCCATGTGGTGTGGCTCTGCCTTGACCCACAGAGAAACTCCATTGCTACACAGTGGCTAGGAAACTGAGCTTTGGCCTCTGAAATGTGTGCCCAGTCTTACCACTGGCTTATTTGTGGTATTTATCTGTGTTCCATGCACATGAAGAAGCTAACAGTACTATTGGTTGGGACAGACGGCAGCTATAGGTTTTATACATAAGCACACAGACTAAAGACAGGTGAGCTATACCAAGAAAGAAGAGCCATCGTGGAAGAGAGACAAGGTACTCAGTAGCCCAAGGGATGTGACGATTCTAAATTTAGCTATTTATGGTTACATTTCACTTGGGCAAGCAAAACGAGGCATGAGGAATTGAGCTGCACCAAGGATCTACAGTAGACAAAGCCCATTCCATTCCCCACTTAAACTGCACCCGAGGGTCTGTAGTAGCAGCCACTCCCTCCCCCATCCCATGCTAGGGGTATACTCTGAAGCTATGAGTCTAGGGGAGCCAGCTGAATTTTGTCCAGCTATTATTAAAACAGTGCAGGCTAAGAATTGACACAGCAGATATTTACAATATAGGAATGGTCGGGTTCTACCCTTAGGGCTTGTGAACCCCAAAGTACTATTGCATCAACCATCCACTCCAGACTCCATGCTGTCTCCATTCCTCAATGTTCTTCCCAGTTATCAACTACTCTTACCATTTATTTTGTGTCGTAGGAATACCTGTGCACACATCACACTCATCCTAAAGTGTTTTATTCCTTATCTCATGCCCTTCCACTAAATAACCTAACCTTATTAAGATCCTCAGAGATGGAGCCACATTGTCACAGAGAATCCAACTCACCTTTTCAATGGGTACTTTGGATTGTATCTGTATTCAAGCTGGGTTTGACTTATAGCTCATAGATAGTTAGATTGTCTCAGTCTTTTTGCCCTAGCAAATACAGCCAAAGTGAATAATAGTAAACCCACTACTTGAGCATAGACTTAATTCTAATTGAATGGGTACCTATCTATTTCTGACCTATCCAACTCATTACATACTGGGGGAATACAACAGAGATTCTTTTAAGTTCCCTCAAATTATATTACACAGAACCTGGGACAAATAGTTGAGCCAATCCCAACTTCTCCATTTTGTACCTATAGATGTTAATACAACAACTAAATAACACACACACATGCATGTACACACAGCTAAAATGAAGTGCAATAACAGTGTAGCAAAACTGTGAATGGAGTATTATGGGAACTCAAAACTTAATCCTGAATGAAGGATCCACCAACATTTGTCGGGGAGCTTGGTTCTGATGAATGAAAAACAGACAGGAACATTGACTACTTACATGTGTTGGTTGGTGCCTCCTCCAACCACACACGTTCCCTGATATTCAGTAAGAGCATGGAAACTGTTTCAGTTGTGATTTATACTAGTTACTAGCAATGTTTACTGACTGTGCTAAGCACTGAACAGGCAGACGTGATTACAAGGAAGATTATGAAATAAGTCTACCTGGAAAGGTCTCAGCATAGAGTAGGTTGCTGCCTGCCTGGAAGTTAGGACTCTGGAGTCCACATGATGCAATGGTTGGACTAGGTGACTTACAAAGTCCCAGCCAGCCTACTGATTGTATCCACGCAGACATGCATGTACCATGCACACATGCTCATCAAGGCTGCCCCAGGGGCACAATATCAGCCTCTTTCATAGACTGTGTGAACTCTTTGGCCACCTAAACTATGCTTCACTGTGCTTAGTGCCTGAAACACATGTCCATGTGCCTCCAGTGTCCCTGGGAAACCTCCAGTGTCCTTGGGCCCACCTCTTTCCAGTCACTGTATCTACTACCCCAATCTTAATTCTTCAACCCACTAGAAGGCACACAGCCTTGGAGTAAAGACTAGCAGTGTTCTCTTATAACCCAGACATTGCTTTAGCCAGTGAGGCTCTGCAGTCCCCAAATCCAGAAAGACAGCTAGATGTGACCAATCCTCTTGTGAAATCAGCCACTCTTCAGAGTTCCCTAATAAAATTCTGGTAACAGAAATCCCTTCCCTACCCCTTCCAGTAACAATGGCTGTTTTACGAAACATCCTATTTCTGAAACACAGCGTTTACACATATATTTAAATATTTTTCATTGATTTCTTTATTTACTGCCCCATGTGCCAGCAACTTTGGTATAGAGAGGTACTCTGCATGCCAGCAACAGAGAATGTAAATGCCAACGCAGCTACAAATGCTTTGATCTACAATGCTGTCCTGCCTGCAGGATATGCTCCTGCCATGGTGGCACAACGCCTGTGGGAGGAATCAACCAATATATGACTTGACTGAAGGCCCAATGCACAAGATGGAACCCGTGCCTGACACTGCTTGACCTGAGACTAGATAGGCCAGGGACATACAGTAAAACCAAACACTACTGCTCTACTAAAAGAACAAAGCAATAAAATGACTTCTAATGACATTCTGCTATATTCATAGATCAGTACCTTGCTCAGCCATCCTCAGAGGAGCTTCTTCCTGCAGCAGATGGGAAAAATACAGAGACCCACAGCCAGACAATATGTAGAGAGTGAAGAATTTGGAACACCCATCCCTAAATGGGATGTCTCGAATGCTTCCCTTTAGAGCTCAGGGAATCCTACAGAAGAGGAGGTGAAAAGAATGTAAGAGCCAAAGGGGATAGAGGGCACCAAGAAAACAAGGCCCTCTAAACCATCAGGATCAATGTACATATGACTTCACAGAGACTGAGGCAACAGGCACGGAGCCTACAGAAGTCCTTTGGATATATATTATGGGTTCTAGTTTAGTGTGCGAATGAGTGGGTCTCTGTGTTTCTATCTGTTTCTTCTGTCTTTTCTTGGGCTCTTTTCTTTCTGTTTGTTGTTAGTCCTATTCTGGTGTGTCAGTTTTTGTTTTACCTTACTATATTTTAGTTTGTTTTGTTTTATTATTATGCCTTAGAAGACTGATTGTTCCCTAATGAGAGACAGAAAGGAGGTGGCTCAGATGGGGGAGGGGAGATGAGAGGAACTAAGAGGAGTAAAGGAAGGGGAGACCATCATCAAGATATATTATGCAAAAAAATCTATTTTCAATAGAAGGGGGAAGAGAATTTAATGAAACTGAGGGGGTGAGGATAGCATGAAGGACAGAAGCAGGGGCAATCTAGTTTATGCACACTTGCTGTCCACAATCCAGAGTCAAGAAAGCAAGATGATGATAATTCTTACATTATCTGACACTTGAAAACTGAAGAGCTCAATTTAAATAAGTAGCTTGACTCTACAGGGAAGACCCACAGCAGAGGTAGCCCCTTGCCCTTGAACATTCCCAGGCCCAATAATTATAAAAAAATAGAAGTATTCTTTATGAATTGTCAGGACTGTGGCATTCAAGCACAACCATGGAGAACGGACTGAGATGCTTCACACTGGCATCAAAGCTTGAGAAACACTAGGAGGAACAGAGGTCTTATTAAAGACATGCAGTTGATAGAAACAAAATCAGCTAGGATCAAGTTACAGCTTTCAATGTGCACTGAGCTTGAAGGCTGAAAACATCCTTTGAATACCATTTTCCACCATCAGAACTTGTTTGAGACAGATTACCGCTTGCCTTCAGAACTTGTTTGAGGCAGAGTATCGCTTGCCTTCATTTCTGCATCCTCCACTACCTTCCCACAGTTCCTCTCTTACAGCATCTTCGCCTCAGCACAGATCCAAAGAGTTTTGTCTTCCAGTCCTCCTGACCTCTGACCTCCTTGTACATATATGCTCTGTACATTATATAACCATATAATTATATATGTAATATATAAACATATAACATATTATACAATATATGTATGCATATGTACACACACACACACACACACACAACACCAAAGACCAGTCCATCTATTTCTCAAGATACAGCAGTTCCTACTCTCAGCCATACTAGTCTTTAGTGTTGTGTCTGTGTGTGTGTGTGTGTGTGTGTGTGTGTGTGTGTACATTAAAAAAGCTTAAGAGAGATTTCCACACTTTAAAGTATGGAGGAAGCACACCTGGCATTAGCCCCTACAAACGCCCCGTATCTTTCTCTGACAGTCAGTTCCTACAGGGCTGATGGAGCCTCTAATTTGCCCCTAAGAGATTCTATAACATTGGAGGGAGCTTAGCTGATTCAGGTCAGCGGCCCATGCATGCTGACTGCTCATTCGAATCGCCATAAGAACTTTAGAAATAGTTTGTGCTTGTAATCATCGTCCCAACAATCAGATACAGTTGGTTTAACATGGATCTCGAAAAGTTCTCCAAGTGACTGAATGCGCAGGGACATTTGAGAACTACTGTTCTGTATCTGGAGTGTGGCTCCGAAGCCCTGGTTGGAGCACCTCAGCAGGCGAATAGAACAACCAGAGTGAATATGAATTCATGAAAACATCCCAACAATAATGCTTGCTCTCTCCACTGTTCTAGCCAGCCAGCCAATGAGCACACTACGCTCTCGGTTGCCAGGCAACCTTCTTGGAGCTACAGATCTCAGACACAGTTTTGCTCACCAAAGCAAGGAAATTGGACCCCGGGATTG